AAAAAAAAAAAAAAAAAAAACCCAAATTTTTATATTTATGTCTAATGAAACATGATTGACAGATATTGCATGATATATCAAAATCAGTTCAATAAAAAATTCATAATCACATAGCTTGAAAACATTCTAGTATTTTCTGTTTTTAGATACGACTATTGCACTACAGCTTAGAGTTCTCCAGTCTGCTATCGAATTTATAAGGACCATTGCAGATCACGACTCTGAAAACCTTACAGATCCATTCTAGTCACCTTCTGCCCTCCATTAGGTAGTGTTTCAGAAGCAGAAAAGTATTGCTGGTGAGTATCAAGGTAATATTTTAATCATTATAAATGGAAGGTAGCTAGACTTTCCTCTGTTCTGATGATATTCACATGTTAAAAATATTTCTTAGCTTAAAAAGTTAAGCTGTAAAATTTGAGAAAGTATTCCTCCTAGAGAAAAGCATTCTGCTGCTTTCTTTTCAGCGCCCTTCTCATTTAATTATTTCTTGAGCACCTACCATGTGCCAAGCACTGTGTTAAATGCTGGAGATACAATGATGACAGAAGCACAGAGTCTGCTCTTGCAGAGATTTTAAATAGTAGGGAAATGTATAGGTTAGGAATAGAGATTATAGCAGGGCAGCCAGATTTACATCAGGAGTTAGGGAGATTTCTGAGGAAGTAAGATGTCAATATGGTCATAAAGGATGAAAAGGGAGTCAGCAAGGTCGGGAGTCAGAGGAAAAGTGTTAACAGGCAGAGTGGCCGGTTTATGTGGAGGTCTTGCGGCAGGGAAAGCTGCACTTGTACAAAGCTGAATGAATGTGGCACTTGATGAGACTGACCCAGACAAGGCTGTGCAGTGTGGCATGGACCAGTTCATAAATAATAACACAGGCCCATTAAGGAAGTTAGATTTTATCTAATGGGAAGTCATCAAAGGTTTTAAGTAGGTGGCATGATAAAAGATTTTCATTTTGTTAAGATCACTCTGTCTTCTGTGTAGAGAGTGGGTTAGAGGAGAGCAAGAGAAGTAGTGGGAGTCCAGGCGGGAGGCCACTGCAGCAGTCCAGGCAGAGAGTGGTGGTGTGGATATGGTTAAAGTGCACCAGACATCGGGGCCTGCTGTAAATTAGTACATATCACCAAATAATAAGTATTCATATTGTAAGACTTCCTTATTTTTTCCACAAAATCTGCTATGACCTGGTGTGGTCCACGCCATGGCATGATCCTAAAGGAGTCAGCATGGGCTGCCCTCTCCGAGCTGGCAGGGCCACTGGAGGGAGAGCTGTTGGCAAGGCCACAGCTACGAGCACTTGCTGCAACCAGAAGGACTGCCTGCCTCGGCTTTGTGGCTATTGCCTTCTCTTTCAATATTTTGGTTAGCGTGGCAGTTCTCTGAATTCCCAAAAGATTATAAAAATAACACAAATAATTATGCAGTCATTGAACTAAACATTCCCACAGA